TTCAACTTGCAAATGTTAAATGTTAATCATTAACTTATAACATATAACGTGAGTTCACAAACAACATGCCTGATGTCCTGGTTTTGTAGATTGATGATAGACGACATAAGACTGAAGACCGGACTGTAAATCATTTTAATATTCGACAGTCGACAGCCATCCGACAGCTTACTGTCAGGCCATGATGACTTTGACCGCAAGCGCGTCGTTGATCATGAGCTCAACTCATCGTCGGTGGCTGACGAGATGTGAAATGCTTGGGCTACAAGGGTTTCCAGTGGATACAAAAGACACAGGAGGGGTTGCCACTAGCTCCTTTGCATTGAGGTGGCTGAACAAGTCACTGGGTTTAGACTACCATCCTTGGCCAGGGCGTCAAGCGACATGTACTCAAGCGGGGAACGCGATGCATGTGACTGTAGCTGGGGCAGTCCTCATGTACGGTATGACACAAACCATTTTGGACAACGGAATGGTGTCTCTCCAGCGATCTATCCTCAAGAGAAATTTGAATTTGGATCTTGGCGTCCGAGCCGGTGTGCAACATGCCGCTCTTCCATTGGGCGCCTCACGCGATGTTGATGCTAATGATGAGGTTGAACCAGCTTCCAGTCGGCGCAGGCTGAACTAGTGACTCCATGCTTATTTGTTCAGAAAGAACATGAGACATCAGCCCATCAACTAACCTATTATCATGAATGACCAGGGAACTAGTCTTAGAATCTTAGAAGAGGCCTGCCGTGGCTGCATCATCATCATCAATCAGGTTCTGTCAACGCACGAACCGAATGCGCACTGTGTCATGCACCACGCTGTGAGGAGGTTAAATGAAGCAACAACTGCCGTTGGGCTGTTAGCTGTTGGGGCCGTTTCATCGTCCATCGTCGTTGGGTTGGGTTTGGTGTTTAGTGGTTCTTTTACTTTTCTTTTTTACATTTCTGAATCTGGCCAACCGGCCCCGACCCACACCCATCCGACCCATCCGACAACACCTGTGTCAAATGCAGAGCCGGCGTTCTGAGGTCATGACTCCGTGCTGCTGTCGGCGTGACAGCTTTGGAGCTGTGTGTGGGCCGCTGCCTCAAAATCAGTGGACTTGGACTGCTCAGTGCTGGGAGGTCATGTGCTCATGCTTGACTTTCTTGACAGTCCTGTCAAACAAACAACTAGAGTCATGTCTGACATGTCTGACAATTTCATGAGCATTTGCAGCACTGGCTTTTCTTTATCCTGTGCATACTTTTGAATTACTGTAAATACGAAACATGGAAACAACTACATCGGTAACGCAGAGCTTCAGAACATTCTAACATTGTATTTGTATTTTTGCTGCTGTCAGCGCTGGTGTTCGGCATCCCTTCATCCAGGGCTCGAACATGATGCTAAGCATCAGGCGACCGCCGCCATGCCACGAAACAAAACATCCATAGAAATGAAATCTACAGATGTTTATATAAATTATATGCTGCATAGATCCTATGACACATGACCTATGACGCCTTTAGATTCCAACATCATCTTGCGACATTGTGACTGTTGCAAGACACACACAGTGTCACACAGAGTGTATAGAACCGTTGAACCCACTCACTATTTTCAAGCATTTAGGCCTGAGCAATTGAGACTTGCGCTCTCATTCAGTGTTTTCTAGCGTGGGGCAGCCGGACAACAGCTGAAGTGACGTGCAACTTGCTCAGCAGCCTGCAGCTATAGCTATGGATCTTGCAAAAGCAAGGGACGGAGCGAGTATCTATGATGAATCGGCTTCACTCTGTGATATATTTGGGTCCATCAAAGGAAGAACACTGGTAGAAGCCATTTGGAATACCTATCAGGTGAGGGTGAGGGTTGGGCAGCATTTTGATTAAATCAAGTTGCGAATACATAAGTGTGTCATGTGTGTGTATGAGTGTATGAGCTACAGTGGTGACTGGTGTGTGTTTGTGTTACTGTTACTGTTGATTTTGAACTTACTGCCCTATTATAGGTGGGTGGTGGATCTGCAGAAAAGACACGAGTGCGCTTCTTTGCTGAGATCGATGGGATGAGGCAGCCAAACATCAAGCGTCATCCTTTGAATGCCAGACAGCAAAGTGGAGTGAAGCAACAATATGTTTCCAGCGTCAAAATCCGTGGCATAGTAGAGGGCGTGCGGGGGGAAGCTTGGATGATGGCACCAACTCCCAACGACATGGGTGAGCGAAAAGGGCCTTTCTTGGCCCTGTCATTCGCTAGTCTATGCGAAAGTTTTTACCAAGCGATTGAGGATGAACCCAGCAATCCAAACCTGCAGCTGAGCTTGGGTCGGGGTCTTGAGGCCCGCATTCTGCATCACAAAACGCCGCCATCGGTTTTGAAGTTCCTCATCAACTACCACAATTCTTTTCACACAGGCTCATCAACATCGTTCATTGAACTCATGTGGCTGGTCCCCGATGTACCTTGACCGTGCACTAAGTCACTAAGTTTTTTGTTTGACTTGCAGTGCAATGCAGGTTGTTGTTGTCGACAAGTTCATATGTGTCAATATTACACGCGTTGTGTCTGCAAAACATTTTTATAAACATGATTGATTTTTGATGATGACAAAACGGCGAAGTGTGAAGTGGGAATCATGAGGTGGAAACTGCGTTGACTGTGTGGAAGAAGGATAATGGCATCACTTGGAATTCAAAGAACTATGAATCGAAGTGTCACTTGGACAATCAGGCAAAATATATTGTTTTGAAATTTGTATTTTCTGAATTGAATAAGAATGATTAATTCCATCCTGGAGTCCTGTAGCAAGCAGCAGTTGTCAACTTGTCAACTGTCTGTAGGTGCAGAGTTCATTCGAAGCCACGCAGAATTTGGAGAATTGTTTGGCGAGTGGCGCTTGTACGAATCAGCTCGCGCCTGCTACAACATGCTATCCAAGAAGTGGAATGTGCTGACCAACCCGTCTCCAACAACTTTGAATGGTGTCGACCAAGGACCCTTTACAAAGGTGATGTCAGAGCAGTGTGATTTTCTTCATCCTCGCGTCAACAACAGCATCATCCTCCAGTCGATTCAGCACGTGACCAACGCGGTCTCCACAACATTGTGGGACGGAGTTCCGGATGCTGATATGCAAATGCTCATTGTAGAGCGGTCAAAGCTTTGTGTGCCTCGGTTTTTTAGATAGATAGTTTCTTTGTATCCCTTTCCAATGACTATGACTATTGATCACCTGATCCAAACTCAAAAGTTTGGTGTGAGATTTGTGAAATGTTTTTGCGTGGTCAGTGGTCTGGTGTTCAGTGCTGAGTGTTCAGGTGCCTTTGCTTGAGGAAAACGGCGAGAATACATGGGTGTTTGATTCCTTGGCCAAGAAGTCACTGGTGACGAAGCTCTTCGCTACAATGACAGGTTCAGTTGTGACTTCGGGCCAGCAGTCGAGCAAGCGTGCCCGCACTGGTGACAAGGAGAATGAGAAACCAAAAAGGAAGGCGAAGGCGAAAGCGAAGACGAAGCCTGGTGCGGAGATAGTGTCCCTGCAGCTGCCGGAAGAGTCAGACATCAAAGCAACTGTTGTTTCATGCAAAGTCGGTGTCAGAGCAAAGCTGTGGGTGGATGATTTGCTGAATTGTTGCTCTCACATCATTGATCATGTATCAACATTGTGTGCGGCAGCAGCGAAATCGAACTTGCAGGAGCTCAAGAGCAAAATGATCCGGCAGGGGCTTATGTTTTGCTTCAATGGCAGCATCAGACTCACTACTGCTCGTGGCTCAAAGACCTACCGCAAGTGGAGTGTGCTTCGCCCTGTCCTCAAGGAATGGGCGATGTGGCAGCTGTCGCAGGTCTGAGGGGTTTCAACAAAACATGTTCTAAGTTTTATAGTTTTATTGCTCTCTGTGGAACACATTGCAAAAAGTATAGTGGAGCAAAGATGTTTGATGTCAATCATTGTTCATTGTTTTACAAGTTTAACTGTCCAATTGAATTTACTGTTAGTCTTTTTGAACAATTTGCGATTCATTGCAACGTCTTGCAGGACATGAAGGGCTGCATGGAGTTAGCGTTGAAGGCTGATGCGGCTGGCGGCGCTGCTAGTGGATTGCAGAATTTGGAGGCTGCCGTGTCTTTACACAGTGATGGGTTGCTTGAGGACGCCGCCAAACTATCGACCCAAGAGAAGTTGAAGACATGGGTGCCGGCGCTAGCAACTTGGGTTCGTGGAGAGACTTCAAACCCACTCCGGCACACATCTCCTCTTTCAGTGGCGCAGCATGCAGCTTTCGGCAAGATCAAGGCCAAGATCATTTATGACTCCTGCACGTGTTCAACATTGAATGGTACAACTGCGCCGGGTCCAGATGCCAGCGCATGCAGCCTTCATGCAAAGGCTGTGACGTTGCCAGACATTGTTTGGCAAGTGACGCGCCAAGTTCATGAAGTGTTTGGTGATCAGTTCATGGCCTTGGCAAATCTTTTGGCACAAGAGACAACTGCAGGCAGGCTATCTGTTGTTTGCTGATTGTTTGACATTTGGCATTTGGATTCATTTGATTCATTTGATATTATTGAAGATTGAAGATCTTTTAACTTTGAGGCCCCTGAAGGCCACACAAATCAATTAGAGCCAAAACAAACAGACAAACTTTAAACCTGGACAGGATGGGTGGTGCCAAGTGAACCGCCAGAGCTCAAAGAGCTTGCCTTGCAACCGGCGGATGTGGATGTGCTGATGAAAGTCCGTGCGCAGTATGTCATTCAGCTTCTCATTACTTTGGCATCGTCTTTAGCACAGAACTTGGCGGGCATGTTCACTGCCTTCAAAGAGACACCATCACTTTTGCAGCAGCTATCGGATTTGGACTCATGCCTCTTGTCTCTGGAGTTCATGTGTTCAGGATGGACTGAAGCGTTGACTGCAATCGGTGCCCGTGGTAGCTTTGACCCCAAGACTGTTCTGCTTCAGGTGGGCGCCGCGCCAACAAACAAGTACAGCAGAAGTCTTTTGGGCAGTTCTGTGGGTGACATCAACAGGGCATCTGGAGGACAGCGCAGATGGCTCAGGCGATGCTGGCGGCGGCATTTTCTCAATGAAAGACTTGCTCACTTTTTGGATATTCCAAGGATGTCGCATCGTCTGATTCCCTGCTTCACTTGCAGTTGCAGATGCAAGCCGCGATCCTGATGGAAGCAAGCTCACAGGAGAAGAAGTGGCGTGAGAAGGTGAAGGTGCAGATTTCACCTGGGGAAACTGGATCATCAAAAAGGAGTTCTACAGCCAGTATTTCCAAAGAAGTGGTCATGTACGAGCTGTCGGAACAAGAGTTGTTCGATTGCAGATCCTCTTGTGGTGGTGCAAAGCACTTTCCCTTGCCTGATGATTTTGTCCTGGTGTTTTTCGGAAACATCTATAACAAGGATCAATTGGATATGTTTTCTCTGTTTTCTTTGATGTTCAATGTTTAATGTTGGATGCACTTATTCTTTTTGTAGTTGTTCATTGTTCACCTTTCCTTTCTTCTGAATTTGGATGGCCTGGTTTGACAAGTTGATGAAACTCTTGGCTGATGATGAAACATGCGCAGGTGAGTTCGTTCCGGAAGTGACCACCAACAACCGTTCTAGAGCGCAAAACCAGCGGGGGCCAGGGAAGCCTATCACATCAGTGCCTGTGAAGATACGCAAGGAAGAAGACACCGACACCGCAGAATTTGGAAACCTGGACTATTGATTATATTTTTGAGGGGACAAGTTTTTGTTGGTTGAACAAAAATGGGAACTAAACATCATATTTAAAAACATACAAAATTCTGCAAGAATAGTGTTAAGGAAACATCGAGATGTGCATCGATGGCTCTGCATATGGATCTTTGGATTGCGCAGCCCCATCAACTGCTTGGTTGGTGCCGATAGTTCCAAACGAGGCAGCCACACCAGCACTCGTATGGAAGACTCAAACTATTGCATTGAAAGGGGAATCCTTCAATTTGACGCTGGAGATTGGCACGCTCGTTCCTGACAAGGGTTTATGCCCTGCGGTGACCATGAACGACAAGCACTATGCTGTGCTGAAACGCGGACTTTTGTACCCCGACTGTGTTCTTAATTGTCTGGCACTTTTCACTTTTCCTTTTGCTTTTTAGGGCTTTTGAGGGTGTATGGCTGTACAAGTTGTTATAATTTACCTTAGATCTGGCTTGACTTAGATATTGAGCAAATTGAGGCCTGGTGAAAAATTCAAAGCAAAGAAGCGCAAGGCTGATGACGATGAGGTTAACGTTGCTCAGCCTCCTGAAGGGGAAGAACCAGAGTGTGCAGACCAAGTGAAATGTCGTGGTGCGTTGGACTTGGTGAATGCCAAGTGTAAAGCTGCTGCCGCCAGTGCTGTTGATATTTTGAGCCCAGCACTGAAAGTGCCTCGGGAATTAAATCATTTGGTGAAGTGATCTCAGTCATCTTTGCTATATTGCTATATGATTGGTATGATATATGATCTGATATGATTACTTTAACTATAGTTTACATACACTGTCACAACAAAGAACATTGTACTTGTACTTGTCACCTGTGCCTGTGACTTGTGATCACAGCCACCCGAGGCAGCAGGCATAAGCACCAAAGAAAAAACTTGGACTAGGAAAGTAAAACAACAAAACTCACTTAAAGCTCCTTCCAATCTATCCTTCCAAATAGGGTTACCGGGTTACATAACATTCACAAAGCGGTTTCTTGGTTGCTTTGTTTGAGTTCTTTCCAAACTGCTTCGTTGGTTTTGGCGCTTGTCGGTGGCCTTGGTTTTGTTCAAGGTCTTTTCCTTAGAGCGTTGAGTCATGGTTCAGCCATGATCATTAGCCTTTCAGAGATCCAGTGGCGGTCATGCATGGGGCTTGTTGTCGCTTTTGGATCTTCAAATTGGTAAAATGCCAATTTGATAGGGTGCGTGGCAGCTTGGTCAATGTGCTGGGCTGTAAGTGGCGCACAACAAAGCACAGAAACAGGACACAAGTGGAAAGAACTGCACGTGGTTTTCATGTGGTTTGCACGGCTTCCTGGCTTCTTTGTGATGCAACCCTGCAACCCTAGTGCCTACTACCCTAGTGACTCTTATTCCCTGATGTCCCGTGCCATTCGCCTAGGCCGAGACGCAAGCTCTCTGGCACTACTGCCTACTGCAAAGCAGTAAAAGAAAGCTGCGCATGAACTCAGCACGCTGCGGGGGCTGGGACCCAAATCTTCCCTTGAACCCTTGATCTGCCCTAGGGTCCGCCCTGGGAGTGGTGCCCGGGCATGCTCCCAACATACCTTGTAAGCATCACTTTTTAGAATGATTTGAACCAGCCTAAGGGTGATCTGCTTTTTGTACATGCGAACAGCTGCTTCTGCTCTATTTGGCCATGGAGTACCAGGTCCTAAAGTGATCGGTCGGATATTCTTTCTGTTGTAAAAAGCTTCAAGTTCAGTACCCATGAAACCTTGATCACCGACAAGATACTTAGGATTTAATTGGTATGTCTCCAAATACTCCAAAAGATGGCCAATCGTTTCTGCTTCAGTCTTGTCGTTACACACGTAAGCAGTGGTCATAGAAGTAGTACCGTCATAGATAATCAGGAAAAGAAGTTTGGACTTGTCATTGATAGCTAGTTCACCATAATCAACAAAGGTGAATTCTCTAAACGTTTCACTTCTCATACCTGAAATTCTTGATCTCGAAGGTGCAATCTTGGACTTCTGACATGTGTCACACTGCTTGACTACCTTTTCATACTCTTCATAGATCTTAGCAGGAATCTTCAAAACTGATGTACGTTTCTTGAATTGCTCAATTGACATGTGGTAGTGCTTCAAATGCAGTTTCAAGAATTCAATTGGATGAGATAGCTTTTCATGGATTCTCTGCAATGCTAACGGCAATGTTATTGAAAGTTTAGGAGCTTTCTTCTCTCGATGCACTGTTGTTGGTATTGATTTCACGTCTTCCTTGGATTCTTCCTGAGGATTAGGCTTCCCCGGCATGTCAGGTTCTGCTGGAGGTACGTCAGGCTTCTCGGCTCCTGAGTTTGAACTTGGAATTTTCGAATGTTCAAATGGCGTACCAAAATCAGGCGATTTTTCTGTCTTCCGGTATATCGGAGGTGTCACCTTCTTAGCCGGTGGAGGCATCGAAATGACCTTCGATGGCGGATCGACTTTGGCATCTCCATTTGCAATGTGCTTATTTGGCTCCTTAGCCGGAATATCGGCTGCCGATTTGTTTTCCTTTACTTCGGATGTCTTTGCCTTCTTGCATCCATCTTTGTATGTGTGCTTGCGATGCTTTCCGCTGCAGGCAGGACAGGCTCCATACGAAGGATTGATTGCAGTAAAATTGTGGTTCGGCTTACGAACTGAGCTGGCAAACATCCTGATGTCCAAGACATTATGATTCGAAGTGCTTACTGGCAGCGAAAATCGCTTTAGACCGAACAAAGGACAAGTCAGATAGTCACCGACTGGAGTACCCAATAGACCAGGTTAAACAAAAAATTGTCTAATAGACAACTTTCTTAAATTTTGTCTATTAGATAAATTTTTGTGATTTGTCTTAGACAACTTTATGTGACGAAAAGTTATCTAATAGACAAAACAAAAGTTGTCTAATAGACAAAAATCTGCTGTCTTAGACAAGTTTTCGCGGCTGCAAAATTTCAAGGAAATTTCCTCGAAACTACCTCGTCTGTTTTTCAAAACTTCCTTCAAATTTCCTTTCTTTTTGTGGCAGTTTGGAGGTAATTTGATGGAAGCTTGTGGGCAGTTTCAACCTGCAAGTATGGAAGTTTGTCATGCACATGGACTGAAACTGCAATAATAT